ATTTTTAACCATTCAATTTCTCTAAAACTCATTTCTTTCACAGACGTTTTGAATAAAATACCTTGTTGTATACTTATATCCGATGACGTGTATATATTTTGGCTGAAAATGCGAAATATAGAGACAAAACAAAGAAATTCCAGCACTGTTTGTTAATTTTGAGTTGCTTCCCTTCACATCTAATTATTATTCACAATGATCAAGAGTTTCTATCATGTAATTTACGTTATGGGAAATAAATTTTCATAAATATATTTGCATTGAATTATTATAAATTTTATCAGAAGTTACTAAGCATGACCTATAGAACTGTTCTTATCCGGTTACCACTCTAGCTTTCGTAACTTTTAGCACATGTCGCATCTTTGTTCTTCCCAGCATAACTATGGTAAATGAGGACATTTTGATTGTCTGCCCTTTCAGTTTACACAATATAATGTATAACAAACTATCACTGCTTTTTTTCTTATATTATAGTTGATTCTATCCGTTAAAAAAACACGTGCTTTTGTTTACCTCTGTAAACGCTTTATTTATTTCCACCGCATAGAGAATTCCAAACGGGAGATCACTTTCAATGACTGTTTTTTAAATGGAAAAAGCCTATGTATTAAACCCTTTTTTCTCCTGAAACCCTGCCTTGCTATTGACCTTACTTTCTAATTTAGAAGACTCGTGTATAATCCTCATTATATACATGTTTGGAATCGTTTTAGGCTATTGGAAGACTTGGAGGTTCTGCTTTACTAAATGAAGCTATGACTTTAAGGGTAACCTCAATCGATGACTCTGAGCGAGAACTTCTTTTGGAGCATTTACTGGAGATAAGACAACTAAGATTGGAACGGTTAGAAACGATACCCTGGAATGTTAGAGGTGATCTTAGCAGTATCCCTAACAAAAAATACTATAGTTAACTATAGTTAACTCTAGTTTACTATAGTTAACTATAGTTATAACTTTGACACATTGAAAACTTTGATTTATTATAGTGATAACTTTGACACTTTGAAAAACTTTGACAAAAACTTTGACACTTTGAAAAACTTTATGCGAAAACTTTGACACTTTGAAAAACTTTGGTGAAAACTTTGATACTTTGAAAAACTTTATCGAAAACTTTGACACTTTGAAAAACATTATCGAAAACTTTGATACTTTGAAAAAGTTTATTGAAAACTTTGATACTTTCAAAAAAATTATCGAAAACTTTGATACTTTGAAAAACTTTATCGAAAACTTTGACACTTTGAGAAACTTTATCCAAAAATTTGATACTTTAAAAAACTTTATTGAAAACTTTGATACTTTGAAAAACTTTATCGAAAACTTTGACACTTTGAAAAACTTTGACGAAAACTTTGACACTATGAAAAACTTTGATGAAAACTTTGACACTTTGAAAAACTTTGACGAAAACTTTGACACTTTAAAAACTTTGGCGAAAACTTTGACACTTTGAAAAACTTTATTGAAAACTTTAACACTTTGAAAAACTTTATCGAAAACTTTGACACTTTGAAAAACTTATGAGAAAACTTTGACACTATGAAATTCTTTGGCGAAAACTTTGACACTTTGAAAAGTTTTGGCGAAAACTTGGACACTTTGGAAAACATTGACGAAAACTTTGTCACTTTGATTTACTATAGTTAACTATAGTAAACTATATTATTTTTATGTTAAGGATACGACTTTAATGTAAATATATACATTTGTGGAAGCTCTCTATTATATAATCATGCAGAGAACAAATATCATCATACATGTGTATGAATGAAGTTATTAAAATAGTTCATTATGTGACGTAAGCACACAGCAGAATAATATATACCGGTACATAATTATAGAATGGCTTGTTCTACTTCCTTTTCATGAATAAAAAATGAACAAAATAAGCAAGTTAAGTTATAATTTTTTAATTAACACCGTAGACAAGATTTTAATACATTTTTTGGCGATTGATAATAGAAAATAGAAACTAATCTTTGTTTTATGAGAATTTTGTCAGCTGCAGAAACTCTAAAGCTTATATTTATTTTTGGGTAGATCTTAAGTTAAATTTTAATTATAAACTATAATTTTTTCATTAAATTCTCAAAACATCATTGCAATCACGCCATGAACAACTGACAAACACCTCGGCGTTGTCGCAGTTCATTGTAAGCTTTCGCCAATTTCTCCTTAATTACATAATTGATATGTTTTTAGTTACTTAACATCCATTCTTTGTAGGCACCAACAATAGTTACTGTCGTAAAAATGTCAAGTTTTACAATATTCTTCCTATTTATGCAGCAATGATATCTTAAAAAGTGCCTGAAAAAAGCGTTCTTGATTATTCTAGGAATCTATTTTAGACATTGCTGCAATAAAAAGGAAACAAGAGTCAATCCTCAATATTGCATCAATTATTGTTCCAACACATGCTCATTTTGAAGGCATATTGTAGAAAGCTTTATATTTGTTTTCTATGAAGCTGCAATTTAGGATACAACTGCCATTTTCCCTAATATTCAGAGACATATCTATATCTAGACACCTCATATTATAAATAGAAATGGGAATCCTCCTCAACTATTGTCCACACCAGCTATTGATGTCTAGATATTTTCATTTACATCTCAAAAAACTTTCAAACAGGTTTCTTTAATGGTCACTATAATCTGTAAAACCTCCAAAGGTATAATATGAATGATTAGAGTTCAAAATATTTTTAGTAAAATCTTTTTATAGTCATAGTATTTATAGCCGAAGTGGAAAAAAGATAAAATACAAAATATATACATTCCAAAAACACGAAGTGTGTATTATAAACGGTCTTTTAATGTTTCAACTGCAATTTTATGGAACCAGTTGCCTGACACTGTTCGAAACTCTAATTCCATAGTTTGTTTTTAAAATAGCATATTTGCAAAATTATAATTTGAACAGGTGAAGAAATTCTTCTTAAATGAATTTTATCTTATGGCACAATATTTAATACTAGTATTTAATAGACTTGTATGTACAAATATGTCTGATATCATATGCCATGTATATATTCTTTCTTATTCTAGTTCCTACTATTTTTTTTTATTTGTCTGTAAATGTGTTTTATACAGGACCACAATGTAAACTAGGCATATGTACTAATTGTGTTATCCTGTCTAAATAAAGGGGAAAAAATATAAAATCTATTAACTTAGCCATATTGCATTATTTACTTTCCTGATTTTAATTATATAGAATTTATTGAGGAAAAACTGGAGTCCTGGGAAGAAGAAGATCAAGTATTTGTAGAAACAAAATCATCTACAGCTGTTGAAGAATTCATTAAAGAACACCCATGTGTTGTGGTGGTTGGTCATCCAGGATCAGGAAAGTCTGCCATTATTCATCACATCGCGCTTAAAATGGGGAGAGAAGGATTTTCCATCATACCTGTTAGTCGTCCTGAGGAGATTACGACTTATCGCAACAGAAAAAATCCTCAAGTCTTTGTTGCCGATGATCCATGTGGTGAATATACAGTTAATGAACATTTTTATGAATGGGCTAAGCATTCTGAAGATATTAAAAAATGTCTGGATTTCAAAGGAAGAGAAGGCCAAAAGAAAGCAAAACTTCTTGTTTCATGTCGGTTAGCTTTAAGCTCAGCCCGTGCATTCAGAAAGATTAAAATATTCTCAGATTTCATATTCAATTTAGATATTCTAGAAAATCATTTATCATTTATTGAGAAGAAACAAATCTTGGAAGCTTATGTTCAGTGCGAACTAGTTTTACCCAAGCAATTGTTTGAAAAGCATATTGATTGCTTCCCCTTGCTTTGTAAGTTGTATGTAAATGCTTGGGCTGATCCAGAGCGGTTGGTAACTTTTTTTGACAATCCTTTCGTTCAGTTAGTCTCGAAGCTTGACTTGATGATAGACGATCCAAAACCAGAAAGCATTTACGAATATTGTGCTCTAGTTTGTTGTTCCCTTTCAGAAGACAAACTTGCATTATATCTATCTGAAAGGGAAGCATCTGAAGACTTTGAATGCCTTAAACACATTCACAACGCTTGTGAAATAGATCTCAATCCCTTAGACTTATTTTCTGCTATCAACAGACTTGTTGGAAAGTATCTCAAAGAAATAGGTCAAACGTTTTCTCTAATACACACAAAACTGCTTGATATAATAGTTTGGCACTTTGGAAAACAATCACCAGAAACATTGATACAACATTCACCATTAGAAATATTTCAAAATAGGCTTAGACCTCTTGGAAGATTAGAATGTGATGATAATGAAGATTTGTTTCTAGTAGAATTGGATGGAAGCATGTTGACATGTTATGTAGAAAGAATACAGAAAGACATAGAACGAGGGATGGTTTTTGAAGTTTTTGAAAACCCAGCCATGCCAAAAGCACAGATTGAATCTGGTCTGATTTCTCATTTAGAAGATAGACATGTTTTGGATGAAGCACTTACGAAAATAGGCCGAAGCTTGTCATCAATTCGAATGGACTGTATGACTTCATTTTCGAAGGGAGATTTATTAAGAAATAGCCGAATTTCATTTCTTCATTTACTTATGGCATACAACTGGTCAACAGTTTTAAAATATCTGTTTCAAATTGAAAATGAGACTCTTTTTCAAACTTTATTCGATCAGAAGGCATGTTCAATATATTTGGCTGTTCTTAGTGAAAATATTGAAATTGTTAAATGGTGCTTTGAATACTATATTAAAATTTATGAAAGTGTTCACTATCTTATGGAAGAAATGTTTTCAGATGATAATTGTTTGTATTGTGACTTTAATAAAGAAAATGAAGGTCACGAAGATCATTGTCCAATTGCACGAATCCCATTGCCAATTCTAGTTTGTATAACGGGAAAAACAGAAATATTGAAATTCCTTATCCAAAAGAAAGTCTGCTCTCAGGAAGACCTTACATCAAATTTTCATTTAATGGATGAAATGGTTTCACCCTTAATGGTTAGCAGTTTTTAAGGGCATTATAATCTTACTCATTACTTACTATCAAAAGGGGCATCCGTGAACTTTCAAAATGAAGTCGGTATTTCTGTACTCCATGAGGCCTGTCGGAATAATCATGTTAATGTTATCAAATTATTACATGACTTTGGAGCTGTAGTAAATATCAAAGATGACAACGGTGAGACACCATTGTCTCTAGCATGTCGAAATGGTTCATTGGAAGCTGCAGAGCTTTTGATTACTCTTGGGGCAAATTTCAATTCACAAGACAATCTTGGATGGACAGCTTTATATTCATCCATATTTTCTGAGCAGAATAGGATTACTTCTTTCCTTATTGAGAAGGGATGCGATATTAACTTAACTACTAATGACGGCGAAACTCCATTAGCGTTAGCCTGTTTTATTGGAAATTCTGATACCATCAAATCTTTATTGGAAAAAAGAATAAATATACAAAATCAACTGAATGGACTTTGGAAAGCTTGTCAAAACGGAAATAAAAATGTCGTCTCTTTACTATTGGATCAAGGACTTGATATAAATTATAGGAATGAGAATGGTCTGACAGCACTTCATATCAGTTGTGCACATAGTAACTCAGAACTTCTTTATTATCTGCTCTTCAAAGGAGCATGTCCAAACATTCTCACCAAGGATAATCGAACTCCTTTGCATATTGCTTCAGAAAATTTATCCAAAGAATGCATCTTAATTCTTCTACAACATGAGGTAGATGTGAATGCACTAGATAAAGAGAATAAAACAGCAATCCATCATGCATGCCGAAATCCAAAAACTGAAAGATTTTTTACACATGACAAAAGAGAAAATGATCGTTGCTTCCATAGGAAAGTAAATAAGTTAAGCGGTTCAAAGAATTCTGCACAAAATGTTATTTCATATAACACATCAGATATGACCAGATATATATTAGAATAATGTCAGTATGAAAACGCATTAATAGAGAAACTTGAATGGAATGTTGAAATACTTATTCAGACAAATATAGATATAAACATCCCTGACAAAGATGGCCTTACTTCCTTACATATTGCTTGTTTGGGGAATCTTTCAAAAGTCATCGAAATGCTTTTGAAAAATAATGCAGATATAAATTTGGTGGACAAAGATGGACGAACATCTTTACATATGGCTTGCTTTAATGGGAATTTAAAGGTTTTGAAGTTACTAATACATTATGGGGCAAATGTTAATATTGCAGACAGGACTGGGTCTACAGCATTGCATATCGCTGCTCAGAACCAAGATATTGATATTCTTCCTTGTTTAATTTCTAATGGGGGGAATGTGAATCTACAGGACCAAAAAGGTTTAACACCACTTCACATTTCTTGTTATAATGGCGATATAAATATTGTACAGAAACTGTTAGAGTCTGATGCTGATGTCAAAATGCTTTCGGAAGGTGGGGTTGATTCTCTAACAGTGGCAGTTGCAAACGGCTACTATAATATATCAGACGAACTACTAAAAAAAGGTGTTCACATACTTGGTATGAACTTTCCGTATTTGCTTCAATCTGTCCAGTGTAAATCAATTATTAGCCAAATTTTGGACAAATACAGTGATGTCCTTACTTACAAAAATAGTGATGGACAGTCACTTTTGCACATATCATTATTGGAAAAGACGACACAATGGACTGACTTTCTTCTCTCTAAGGGCGATTTGATTAAATTTTCAGACAAAGAAGGGAATTTGACTTTCTTTTATGCAATTGAAAATGGGTCGCAAAACATTATAGAATTATTTTTACAAGAAGACTTGTCTGAAGCAATGAGAATCGAATGTCTTCGTATGGCACGTATGAAAGGAAGAGAGGATATTGCTTCTAGGCTGTTCAAAAAATATCCAAGTTTACTGAGTAATATGAATGGTAGTGACTACAGGATGTTACCGAAGTTGCTTAGAACCCATTGTGTATTCAATAAAATAACGGAAAATGCTTTAAATAGCAGAAAGTACATTGACATATATAGCATTATTCTTGCTGATCTTCCCGATGAATTATGGAACCTTCATAAAAGCACTGTACCATGCTTATCTCCAGAAAACTGTACGACAAGTGAGTGCAATTGGTTAGAGGAGAAAACGATAATTGATGAAGTGAGCTATGGAAATATAGCAGATTTATCCCCCTTGGAGATATGGCCGCTTCTGTTTTATTCAGATAATCCGATATTAAAAGGTTTACATCGCTCTGATTTTATTTGTTTGACAAAAGATATTATAACATTGAAGGATGTCATTGGAAATACCATTTTACATTATTTGTGCTTAACGGAAAATAAAAGTTTCTTCTTTACTTTACATCACCTTTGGTCAATTGAAAATGAAGATTTATTCCATACTCCTCCCGTCCAAAATATGGCAAAAATAAGAACGCTTATCAATATGCAGAACCTTGCGGGATGTACACCCCTCCACTACGCAGTAAAAAATCCTGCCTTTTTTCGTTTGCTTGTTAAACTTGGAGCTGAAATCGGAATTAAGGACAAATCTGGCCATGTTGCTGAGCATTATCGACCGTAAATTTACTATTCAAAATTAATTTCTTTAAAACGCTACTCCTCCTACAATTTTGATCTGATTTCAATATAACTTGGCACACAAGTAGACTACACTAAGATACATAAAATAATGCATCGGTTTTTGATTTCGATGAACGGTGTTGCCATGGTTACTAAAAATAGAATTTTCTGTGAAATTCCTTTTAAACGTTAGTCCTCCTACAATTTTGATCTGATTTCAATATAACTTGGCACACAAGTAGACTACACTAAGATACATAAAACAGTGCATCGGATTTTGATTTTGATGAACGGTGTTGCCATGGTTACTAAAAATAGAATTTTCTGTGAAATTCCATTAAAACGCTACTTCTCTTACAATTTTGATCTGATATCAATATAACATTGCACACAAGTAGACTACACAAAGATACATAAAATAGTGCATCAGTTTTTGAATTCGATGAAAGGTGTTGCCATGGTTACTAAAACAAGAATTTTCTGTGAAATTCCTTTAAAATGCTACTCCTCCTACAGTTTTGGTCTGATTGCAATATAACTTGGCACACAAATAGACTACACTAAGATATATAAAATAGTACATCAGTTTTTGATTTTGACGAACGGTGTTGCCATGGTTACTATAAATAGAAATGTCTGTGAAATTCCTTTAAAACGCTACTCCTTCTACAGTTTTGGTCTGATGGCAATGGCTTCTTTTCTCATCCTTTGTTATAAGTACAAACCAGTAGAGCTACAGTCTCGACAGAGACTTCTGGTATCATTATATGATGGTATTTTGTCATTATATGATGGTATTTTATCATTATATGATGGTATTTTATCATTATATGATGGAATTTTGTCGTTATATGATGGTATTTCATCATTATATGATGGTATTTTGTCATTATATGATGGTATGTTGTCATTATATGATGGTATTTTGTCATTATATGATGGTATTTTGTCAATATATGCTACTACTTTTCATTATACTACTTTTCTTTATACTACTTTTCATTATATGCTACTACCTTTTCGTCTTTATTTCTAGCTTCGATCATCCAGTAAATGTTTCAGAATTCATTGAATATCACTCAGAGGAAATTGTTTCGGTAATAAATTTTAACCCATATCATAATAATAACGCAATATATCTATCTCCGGATAACACAGAATTCCCCCTCCCCCAGATTGAGAATCGCACTCGTTTACACTTGCAGAGGAAATGCACTCACAAAATATAAATACCTATTTCTTCAAAGATAAGATACAATCTTACATGGCATGCTTGTATTTATTTTCTTTAGTCTCCGTAATCGCGTAAACAGCGTCAAAACTCTGCTCGCCGAGTGAGTGGAAAAGTCGAACTCAACCATGAAAGGGTATGTGCTAAGTATTCCCGAAAAATGTTGACAGATATGCTTGTAATTGTTTTGTATTATCAGCCTCAGAGTTCTTCACTATGTCTTTTAAATTTTTCTTATCTACAACTTGCGAACTTCCATGTTTGTCTAAAGCGAAAGTGAAAACGAGGCAGCTCGTGCGAGTCATTATTCGCTTTCAGCGGTCGTTATTAAAAAATAAGTACTTCGTATTGACCAAACAGATTATCGGATTTCACAAAGTTATATAATATCATCATATAATGATAAAATACCATCATATAATGACAAAATACCATCATAAAATGATAAAATACCATCATATAATGACAAAATACCAGCATACCGTAAATCTGGAAAATTTTACTGTAGATAAATTTTTAGCAAATTTGCGCGTACATTGCATTCGCAAAAATATTTTTCTTAAAAATAAATCAACATGTGAAGAATTTTTTTTCTTAGAGCTCGTGTCTTTTTTTTAACTCAGAGAATAGGCGTCGGTAAGCACTGGTCATTTTTAAAGAAACCCGTTTATACTACTACAACTACAAGTTAATTACCCGTGATTGTAAATTGCCCTCATTATATGCAATATCTTCCGATGGTTTAACAAGCACTGAGACGGTATGCCCTTTTTTAATTATTTTGCCAATAAAGAGAGAACTGTTATTTTATCTAACCGTGTATCAACACGGGCGATCACTCGAACTTAGTGCATTTACTAGAGAGTTCCAAATGTAAACACGGCGTCTAAATTTTAGGTGAGAAAAAAAACCAAACGTTGAGAAAATTAGTTATATTTTTTACTTCATTTGGATTATATTTTAGGTAAAGGCATACACAATCTCTAAAATGTTTTTATAATCAATTAAAAAGTTATTTTCAGTGCAAATCCTTTTACATGTATTTTATCAAAATTGTTTCGGAGCGATTCTGCCACGTTACTAGTAATTTGGTGGTATTCTAACTGTGCATACTAATTTGAAACAATACCTGGTTTGAAAATCTTCATTGATTTTTTATTTCTAGCGCCAGTAACAATTTGCAAAAATTTGAAGCGTAAAAATTAATCAACAGCTTTTTGACCCAAATTCGCAAAAATAAATCGACGTAAAAATTTCCAGATTTACGGTATAATGAAAGTTCTCCACATAAGGCAGTTACGGCGTTCCATATAATTGACTTTAGTACATTATTCACCTAAGAACCAAATCATGTAGGATGGAATTTTATGGCTTCGATCTTACAGTAGCAATATTTAATGGAATATTCTTCTGAATTACAATGTACGATATAATTTATGTTGAATTTATATGTTTTTCGTTATCATAATCATAATAAATGCTTATAATAACTTATAAAGGACATTTAGAGTGACATAATTTTTTAGTTGTAGTGTTTTAAAGATAATTTTCAATCTTCAAAGATCATAAGATTTTTTTTGTAAAATGGAGATAACAAACAGTACCGAAAATATAATATTTTACTCCTTTATAATTTCTATTAATTAAATTAGTCTCCTCCTGCTGAAACCAGGGGCCTCGCATTGATTTCCTCCTCATCTGTTCATCTGTTTATATAGCTGTAAGTCTGTCAGTATGTCACACTTGATTTTGTGGCACTTTTAAGAAGGAGTTTAATGTTTTGCGCTTGTCGGAAAGGAACTAGCATTGCGTATGCAATAAACTTAGAATGTTTGATAGAGCTGTATTTTGAAAAAATAATGTTCTATTTTCTCTCCCTTTGAAAAGTTGGTTGGTATTTGAGAAAAAATCAGATGTAATATGATATAACTGTTTTGTCATAGAACAACTGTTTATTTATTACTATAAAAAAAAAATGTTGGTATTTTTCAGTTACATGTGTCTCATAGTAGATAAATACACATGTGTCTTACATGTAGATACCATAAACCGCTATTTTTCCTGTATTATTATTTTTTAGAAAATTCATCGTGTTTTTATTAGTTTATTTGTTTGTAATTTTTTTTAAGTTATTTCATTCTTTTTATGTCTACTTACCTGTTGTATATGACTTTTTTCGCATTACAGAACTTAGTATGGCTGTGAATACTACATCTGATATTTAACTGCAAATCAATATTATTACATTTTAGTTGTGTCCATATTTCAAAAATGACTTTGTAAAATTGTGGTAATTTTGAGTATGCATATAGCCAATTTAAACAACTTCTGTTTATCATAAAGTCATTCAATACTATAACCGTCAGGTAAGATTAAATTATACTTCTTCATCTTGCTTTTGTATTACTAAATATCCTTCTAACCCGACCAAGCTTTAATGATTTTAATTGTGCTTCAAAATTGGGACTTTTAATCCACCTTAATGATTTACTTGGCAGGATGCAGAACTTTGAATGTTTGGCTTTTCAGTTTTCCATATGAACATGTTACTTTTAGTTCTTCTAATTTTCTATTTTAAAAGTTCTTAGCACGTGCGTTTTGTTCCCCACTTGAACTAAACCAAATACCATGGGTAAAAATTCACGTTCTGACCATTTCACTGGCAATATTCGTGGTTTGAAATTTGTATTCTTTCCTTTCCAAATTGCTTCAGTTTTATTTAAATTTATTTGCAGTCCAGAACAATGCTTGAAATTATGAAAAACATTAAATATTTCCGATTTTTAATCACTTAGAAAACATGTAATGGCATCTGCTTACTGCCTTATCCTAAATTCAGTGTCCCCTACTATGACAAAACTATAAGGCATACCTTCTGTTTAGATTTTACACCTTAATTGAAAGAAACAAAAATACATACAATGATTGGATTACTAGCTGTATCCCTAATTTTGATGTCATTTTAGCGTGAATTTATCTTTTATATTTCTACATGTACGTTGAGTTAACACAAAAATGACATCTAGGACAATTTCATAATTACATGTGTAGTTTGTTAAGGTGGATGTAACACCAACTTTTTATTTTATAGATCGTTAAGTCATTCTTTTTAAACAATGGTTTCAGCATTGAAAGGCCGATTTTAGCTCTTAATTATTCTATATGAATTTGTTTTTTTTTTATATTTTCCAAAGAAAATCATGAATGCATCATATGAATATCTTATAAAATATGTAAAGAAAGGCTGGTTAGACTTTTTAATTTTTTTTATTAAAAATATTTTTTAAGAAAAAAAAACATTATTTGTGAACATTTTTTAAACCTATGGTTAAAAACGCCATAAAACTAGTCACAACTAAGGACAACGTGTCTGTCAAGGATATCTTAAAAGAAATTGAAAAGAAATTTTAGAGCAATTAATATTTTTAATATTTGGACCTAACCCGATCAAAATTAAACTGATCCCGATCAAAATTGACACAAAATGAATAAAATGCTAATTTATTGCCTCTTCATGTATTTACAATGAAGAAATCTATTTTATTGTCAGGTTCTTCAATGTTTTAATCATTATAACACCCAATCAGACTAGTATTCTTGGGGGAATGTTAATTATTTCCATTTTACATTAACGGTTTGGGATCGGTTTAATTTTGATCGGGATTGGCCAAAATTAGAAAAAAAAATAATTTCTCTAAAATTTGGCTTCTTTGTTTCAATTTCTTTTATAATTATGATTAATGAGCATGTTCTCCCCAGTTGTGACTTGT